TATATCGAGTTTCTTTTACTCTCTCAACACCACATCGAACTAGAACTGTAATACACATGTATGATTTAAATAAAGTCAGAGAATTAATATTCCAAGAAATCAAGGTTTTATTAAATCAATTAATTCACAAACAAGTCAAATTTTAAAAGCTAAAACTGATATAAAAAATAAATGCACTTGAGTTGTGTATCTTGCACACAAATACCAAAATTACCTGGTTATTTCTTGTTGCATGAAATCCAGTACAATGCATTACGTCATTATGCACCTCTCAACTTGTAAATCAGATTCAAAAATGTATCATTGCTTCAGTTTTGAAAGTAAAAGGCTCGTGGTTTTGTCAGGCACTTACAGGAAACAATGATTTGTAAAGGAAGTGTCTTATGGCAATCTAACCTTGCCAAAATTACAGGGATGTAATGAGCTGGTCAAGATGCTGGCAGTCTTGCTCAACTCCCCCCCCCCCTCACTCTCGTCTTGATGCCCCAAACCCATAGATTTCAGAGGTCATGTCACACTGAAAATTATATCTTCACTGTATGAACCTTAGACTATAACTACAGCACATACAGTGCGCCACAGCAATAACAGGACTGCATGGACTGCAGTGATATCTCTGTTATAGCTGAATCTTGTATATATGGGTAGCAAGTTTACATACACTGTTAATTAATGATTCACAAACTGGATAGCTTTTATTACAAAGATTTCCCACTGCAAATTTATCAGCTATCGCTCCTTTCTTTTCCAATATTTTTTCTTCTCATCTTATTTTTAAAAAATAGTATCTTAACGTAAAGGGGGCTGACTAGACATTATTTGAGCTGCAAGGGTAATAATAATAATATAATTCTTCATCTAATTGCATTTTTGCACATATGTCCATGCTCCACAACATGCTCTGTGCACTTTGCAACTACATCAAAAGTTACTAAAGTTGGGAATAGGAATACATATATCTGTGGTACTGTGGTAGATCTAGTGACCAGCGCCTTTATTATATTCAATCATTTATTCCTGTTACAAATCTCCGCAAACCACGACGAGACATTGTGACAAAGTGGTGCCAGACTACAGTCACTGACTGGATTTGCATCAACACCAAAATGGGTCCAGTTCTCCGCCTCTTTCCCCTGCACACAATGGGTGACACATCATAAAATGTTTTCACAATCAACTTAGGTTTATTGTGGGTCACATGAGTGCAATAAGCCATGTTGGATGCCATTTCACTTCAATTGTTTTTTCGCTTTCTTGATTTCTTGCCAGTTTGTTTTGTCAATCACTGTTATAGTTGAGTATGTCTGTCCAAATGACAGCTATGAAAGAACTTTCTCACAGTAAATTATAAGAGAATGGAACTCTGGGATTAAATGTAAGCCTGCTGAAGCCGAAATCCTGTAATAACCGAGATTGTAATAAGTAGGCCCACTGTAACAGTATCATAACAGATTTTCAACTGGTGAAATCTGTGATGTGCACTACAGACCACACTATGTTTGGAACTGCTAAATGTGTTTTCTCACACATCGCATTTTCACTAAAACCTGCTTCACTAACTTTTGACACGGAGGCAGAAGAAATTGCGAAAAATAAGTGATGCTCGAGTCAGAAGAAATAACCATGTAATTTTACCAAATTCAGCCTTTTCTCTAGTAAATCTCTAGTACTAGTACATCAAGTGCCCCTGCTCCTCTACTTCCAATGTTCTGGAGCCAGATGTACAGTCAGAAACAACGGAGAAGCAACAAAAAAAAAGAGTAGAACCAACCAATGACATCCTCCAACCACCCAAAAAGAGTATTTCTTCTTTGCATACGCCTGCTAGATCTCAGGGGTGGTCGACTGCTAGGTCTTCAACCTGCAGTGAAACTGATTTTTTATGTGTATGCAATAGTTTTTCCTACTTAACACTTGCTTTCAGGCAGCCACATTCCGATTTTGAAAGTATTCTTGTTTTGGTAAGTGTTTTACGGCGCTCACAACAGCATAAGGTCATACGACGACACTGGGAACAGTTTTGCGCGGGTGGTGTCTGAGGACTACTCTTATCGATTTTAGACCACCAAGGGATCTTTAATGTGCGCAACTTGCACACGGGACCTCCAAGTTTTTTCGCTCTTATCCGAGAAGGCCAGGTGTTAGTGTTAGATCTTACATACCCTAAGACCAGGGGTGTGGCTGAAAGACAGCAGTAAGGAGTAGCAGTAGAAAGGCTGCAGAAAGAGTCAGGAGCCCAGAGGAGGGGGCAAAAGAGGTGAGGGGGGTGGGGACAGAAAGTGGAGAAGAAAGCAGATTATAGAACACTGTTAGAGAGCAGGAAAGGAGGTGAAAGGAGATAATTTTAGAGAAGAAAATTTTCCGCCCCTGTCCGGATTCAAACTATTGAATGAGAGGCAAACACCATATCCTCGCGACGACGAAAGTATTCTATGACAAATCATGCCTTGATGCCTAGAGAACAGGGAAGAGGAGTAAGTTTTAGAGAAAAATGTTTTCGTTGCTGTCAGGTTTCGAACCCAGGACCTATCAAATGAGAGGTGAACACCATACCTCTAGACAATGAGAGCCCCCCCAAAAAGTTTTGTATTTAATAAAGAACACTTTAAAAAGGACAGATTATTCAAGGAGTCCACAGTCACTATATCTAGTTTGTTTTAGTAAGAGTTTTACGGCACTTGCAACACAATAATGTCATATAAATAAGTGCCAAAGATTACAGGTGCTACAAAACGGTAACAAACACAAAATAGAAGGAGGGGAGATAAGGACGATAGATGTTTGATAGGAAAGAAGGAGCAAACCACACCAGAGCACCCGCCAACCACCCACAAAGTCGCTATATCTAATCCCGTATCGCATGAAGATGAAACCTGATAAAAGTATAAAATGTCAACCAGAAATACAACAGATTCAAAAGAGCATCTTATAACAAAAATATTCTAGGTTTAGACAGTTTGTTATGCATATTGTAAACACAAAACAAAGTACAACCACTCCACAAAATACTGATACAAGTACAAAAGTGATGAAAAGACTTGCATCCCTGCAAAGTACTGAGAAAACTGATCGTCACTACACCTGTACATAGAGCTGTACCCCGGTAGCAAACCCGCTCGTGCTCGCAAGCCACTAGTTCAAGTCACAAGCCTCAAATCACCTCATCCTCTCTACCCTGCTTGCAATCCGTGACGCCACTTATGTCAGAAAAAGAGAGGGGGGAGAGAGAGAAACTCTGCTCACAGTGTCCCTGCGTGGTAGAGCTGGAATCTGCTCAATTCATCGAAGGCTTGCGAGCAGCGGACGGCCGTCAAGTCTCAAATCTCGTTTGCAGCACAGCAAGTCTCATGACTGGCTTTGAGCCCCATGACTTGCTCGCAGCCCGGCAAGTCTCTTGTGCCCCATGATTTGCTTTGGCTCCCGTGACTTGCTTGCGACCTGGCAAACAACTTGCTGCAGCAGCGAGCAGCAAGACCGCAAGCAGTAAGAACTCTGAACCGTGGAGGAAGGGAGAAGCTATGCTTGTTTTGGTGCAAGACGAAGAGAGCCAAAGCTATTTTGGTCGTTGGTCAGTTGAGCGAGTGGAAGAAGTGAGAGGAAGCGTGGTATTGTAGTAACAGAGACCTAGCAATGTTAAACATTGCTAGGTTTCTGGTAGTAAGTAAACTTAGATTACCTTAGAATCGAAAACTCCAGGGGTCGTTGTGATTGGCTTTTGTATAGTATGTATGCAGCCTATTTAGTAGATGTTTTACACTCCCAATGACATAATACAGAACATTTAGGAGACGGGCTAGGCCTACTTCAACCCAATGTCAGGGCCAACCTGGTCTGAGAGGGAACAATGGTCCAGCAGAAAGACGGAAGTTCTCAATAAAAATTTCTCCCCAAACGGGAATCGAACAGAGGTTTCTTGAGTGCGACGACGAAGTGCTTGGCCTGTGCACATAAAAATTTTTTTTTAAAGTCTTGGCATCGTAAGAAGAGCCGATCCATTATTAATTTTTAAGTGTATTGATTGAATAGAGCTTTTTCTTTTTTACAACCCGATTATGGAAAAAAAACAATCTTGCACTTTTGGTACAAGCCTTTCAACGCAAATAACCAGAATCTTCTGTAATATGTACTGAGCCCACAGCCACAAGAGTTCGCGACGTCACGACACAGTACAGCAAGATTGTCCGCGAGTCACAACTCACAGGAGGTTCCCCCCGGTAGCAAGCAGGAGGCAAAGCAAAGCACAAGCCTGCTCGCAAGCCTCTGGCGCAAGCCGTCCACTGCTCGCACGCCTTCAATTAATCGAGCAGACTCCAGCTCTAACATGTATTGCTATCCACCATTCGTGCCTCACAAAGGAATGTAATCTAATCAAGGATCTCCGGGCTAAAAGCCAGAGAGTATGAGTGGGAGGGGGGGACATTTAATTTATAAATGTAAGCATTCGAACAGAAATAGATTAATAAATTCTATTTATAATGCATAAACAAAAATTACTAGACTGTGCGAAAAACAAATACACAAACAGGTCAGGAAAAAAACTAACATAAAAGTCAGGTACTCAGTGCTATATATTCCAATCCAAATAAAGATCATAGAAATATCAAAGTGAAAAAATAAAAGACAAAGGCCCTAAAGACAACTGAGTCCAGGAAAAAACCCAGAGAAAAATACCAACTTGGTCTCTATATAACAACAAAAATTTTGAAGGACAGAACTGATCACAGCCATTGGTGCAAGTGGCAGACAAAGGATTCCACAGGGAGCAAAAGAATCAATGAGAATCGTAACTGTTTTTAAAAAATGAGTAATTCCATTTGGCCATGCATTACATGGTGAGTAAAACAATTTGGAATCACTATTTTACTTGTGGCAGCGACATTATGCCTGAACAGAAACATTTTAAAGAATGGCACAGTTGGGAAGAAGATAGAGAAGGGTTTTATGTTTTTTAATTCAAGAAGGAATAGCACAATATGTCACAGGGAAGTTAGACAGAATTCAGGTTAATAAAAGATGATGCCCTCTCAGACTTTAATCACAAGACAGTAACAACAATTTTTTTCCTTTATATTTCATAATCAATAGCAATCAATCCAAAACAGTTACCATATCCAGCTATATCCACAATCACAATTTTTTTGTCCTTCATGGGAAAGTTTCCTTTTCATTGTTTTGGGAATTTGTTTTGAAGAGCATAAATTATATTCTAGCTAATTTTCAAACAAAAATTATTTTTAAAATCAATAAAAGATGAAAACATATTAATACATTAAAACAAATGAAGGAGAAAAGGTAAAACATGATAACTATCCACAAGGAAAAATTTGAAAATACATCAAAACATTTTAAAAGCTCAGTCACGTTATGTTTAGTCAAAAACTTATATTTAGGAACACAGAAAAACAAATCCGGGGGCTCTGTTAGCTCTGTTGGTATCAAGCCGGACTACAGTAGTGTGGATGGCCCTGGTTCAAATCCTAGACTTGGGTGTTCTTGGACTCGGGTCATTTTTTAGAGTCCAATCAGAGGTGGACATCAAATTCAGAGGTCCGGTCTCTTAAACAAAAAATTAATAGGGTCATTAAACCCATACACTTACTTAAATAAAACAATTCTTTCCCCATGTTTCTAATAGTTATAAAAAATAAAGGGACATACCATGGTATAACATATACGTTGGCCAGTCTGAAGATATCAGGAATTTGTCACTAAACCTCGAGGCAAAATATTTGCAAAAATAGTCAGCAAGGTCAATTCTGGTCTATGCTGAGTTATGCAAATCAGGGGATTCTCCGGCCATTTAAGAATATTTAAGATATAATTCAAGAGCTGTTCCTCGTAAAAACTGCTTAAACATATTTTTCCTTCAATTTATTTTTTGCCTATGTGTCACCAAAAAAAATTGTTTAAGAATGCTTTTTTCTCAATTTTTACTTTTTCACATTTTGTGACTTCAAAATGCAGTATCCCAGCTTCTAGATAGTTGAAGAAGGACAGAACTGCAAAAAAGCACAAAAAGTCCAAATGGCCCAGTGCTGACAAGTTCCTGATTTCCTCAGATCAGCTCACATATGTTCACATTAAAAAGCAGCTTAAATTCAATACACTGGCTATGCTGCTGATTGTCAAGTGACATCTAAATACTCTTCTAGCTTTGCTATCAGGTTTGAAAGAATATTATTCTACAAGTCTTGGCCTAGTTACCATGACAAAAACCATAAGTATTATGTTAAGAGTAATACTAACATGAGCCTTGAAATCAAAGAGAAAAAGGAACATTATTATCATCTCACAATGTACACATATTTCTCCATATCTGTTCACTCTCAAAGAGAGCAAGTATACCACTCTCCTGCAATCTATTATAAAAAACTATAAGGTTTTCGGAGGTCTGCCAAAGCTACAGAAGTTACTACAACACAGAAAGTATGGAAATTTACACAAGTCGTCCATAATAGCACCAAGTAGGGCCTTTTAATACTTTGGTAGTCTAACAATTAATGCATTTTAAAAAAATGTTTTTTGATCGTACCGACTGTGGAGGAAATGGTACAAATGGAACAGCCGCAAGCCCAATGTGTCGCAAAGTCTCGAAGTCGTAATTCTTTACAAGCAACATTGCGTACAGGACCATAGTATAACAGTCCCCAGAATGATGGCCGCATTTTTGGATTAATTTGCCACGTGAGTTATCAGTGTTGTATACTGTCATCTTCATGCTGCCTTCTCTTAATGCTGTTTCTATCGCTAATATTGTCTTGCCTCGTTCTATGAACGGGTTGATGTACTAGTAAAACCAAAAAGCCAGATTCTGTTAGCTCTACCCAATTCCTTCTAGTTTCAAGATTATAACACAGAAATTTGTGTGACAAGAGCTTGATATAAAGAAATCCTCATTTACACAATAATGGTCAAAAGAAGACAGAAATGATGATAGTGGCAAAGAAATAAAAACTTACAAGTAATAATCTGCTGTCATCTGTTATTAGAATGAATTATTGATTGAGCCAAGACGTCAATGGTATTGTTCATAAAGTCTGCCAAAAATCTGAATTCATACCAAGCATCAAATGAAACAAGTCTTAAAAATGTCTGCACTCAAAGAAACTTTACTCAAATATCAGTAATATTCATTTCTGCCAACTTATCTTATATAAAAAAATATACACAGCTTACAATTGTACAAACGCACCTTTTGTTGAACAAAAGTGCAAATACAAATCAGCCAAAAGACCAATACGAATCTCCCATTTTTGTAAATACGTACAGTACCCTACTGTATACGTTGTTCCAGTTGTAATGGTAATAAAAAAAACCACCGGACAATGAAAGAATTTTAGAGTAGCTAAAGCAGCCTATGTCTCTTGGCTAGCTCACAAAATGACATCTGTCTCAACACGTCGTGTGTAAACATGGACTCAGTTATGCTTAGCATTTTACTTGACAACAAACTACATTTTACGACACAAACATGACATCGTTACAATCATTTATACACATCACCAGCTGCACATTCTCCACCTAAGTACTTTTTCTTTCGTACTGGAATAGTGAGGAACTAGAAATGGTGCAACATCAGTTTTAAAACCAGATTGGCTGATATACAGCGGAACCCACTTAAACAGAAATTTACATGACTATTTTAATTTGTAAAAACAGTAAGCAAATTTACAAGCAACAGAAATTGTACAGTTTAATGTGTGCAAAATACAATGGGCATTGAGAAGGAAGGAACTAGATGCTGATCCACAAAGAGTCAGGACAAAGAAAATCAATGTTTCACAAAACAAAAGAGAAAAAAGAACGTAGCGACTTACATGACAGTTTCTCACAATGATTAAATAACACTTACGTATAAGTTACAGTTAATGAAAATATCACACTTTTGTCAACAATAATGAGAAAGGTCATAAAACAGGCAGTCCCAGTCCATACCACCAGAGGAATTTCTTGATAGAGGTACATCTCCCACAAATATTTAGAAACTTACACAGAAACAATGTCACTAACAGGTCAATGAACAATTGGCCAAACAAAACATTTTTTTCGGTGTTAATTAATGTATTCCTACAGCTGCCAAAATTAAAGTTGTATTTGGCAATGTTCAGCACACTTCCCATATGGACAATTAAATTTTACATTTTCAAAAATCACAAAAACACTCTTGGGACTCTCATGAATAGTCTGTATATAGAAATCAATTATCAAAACAAACAAAAAAACAATACGACTAGATACTACAGAGAAACATAAAACATGTCCCTCATAGTCAAACTGTGCATAATAATAAAGTATTCACCAACTTCACTGATATTTCTTACATTTATATCAATCATATTCTTCTTTTAAACAAAATATACAAATAATCAAAATAGGAAATTGCAAAGTCAGGGCACTTGTCTCCCTATCAGAGTACCAGGCTGGGAGCAAATCTTCAGGAAAGGGGAAGGAAAATTCAGTGGGAAGAGGAAAATTCAAACCATGACCTCCCCCAAAGTAAGTCAGGACTAAACACGCTACGGTGACAAGGTTCTTGAAAATGGAGTTGACACTTGTCTGATTTTGGAAAACCTTAGAAACTATGGCAAAGGCATTTCTAATCATTTTTTTTCAAGTCCATGCCAGTTTGACCATATCCAGTTTGGTTTCTGAAGAATAAATCCATTTTGTCTTTTCGAGGTAACAGTGCATAAGATTTTTTCCTTATCTATCATGTGTTTTTTACAGGAAACAAAGTTTTTACATACATAAAGAACACATTTCCGGGAAACCTGAAGAGCTGGAATCCCCATTTCTTTCAAAAACAGAGTCAGATACACAATGAATGGCTTTAAAAAAAAAATCTTATTCAACAACAACAGCATTAAGGCGAGGAAGATGGAAGACCAACAGTACCAGGAAACTGAGGTTACTTTCACTTTATAAAGGGTCAAATTTCACCCTGAAAATTGGTCAGTTTCAACCTTTTGACTAACCTGATTACGCAGTCCCAGCAGTTGTTTTGGACGAGCATCTACCCCAACAAAAACTTGTTCATACAACGAGAGGTGCCATTTATTCCTGACAACTGTCTTCAAACAATCCCTTTATTTGGAGCTGTCCAGGGAAGAAAAATACTGTAAACTTTGTTCTTGCTCCCTCTTCATGTCAAAAATCATCTCTTGTATTCTGAAAAAGATTTTTTAAAAATTAAATGATAAATAAAAAGGCAAAGACAGGCACAAAGTTTTTTTTTAAAGTGTTGTCGTCAGCACTCTGAAACTCAGTAGATCCTGTCCCATTTTCTGAACAAAGCATAAATATACACTGGGCAGAGTAATGACACAAAGGACTTTTCACCTTTTTAAAAGCCAACATGATGGAGGAAAACTTACAGCAGGCTCACAATTATCCACTTTCATATTTTTCTGAAGCAGTCATAACCTCTAAATGTATTTCATTGATTCAGAGTTAAAAATTAAAGCATGTCACTTCTTTATCGAAGTCCTAAGACCCAACCTCCAAGTTCGTTGAGCTGAGTGTGCTACATAAGAAAGGTGTGACTAACATGAGCATTATTTTATCTATAACGATAGGGACATCTGTTCTGAATGTGTCCTGGTGTGAGTATCAACGGAAAGAACCAAAGGTTCTCCAAAGCGATGGTAATAGTAATATGAGCTGTTGCTTCCCTTGGCACAGCCCCTCAAAAAAAAAGGGTAAGACTTACACAAAATTCACCTTTATCTTTTGGGGAGGGTTTCCACTTGAATTGCTTCAAAAATTTAAAAGTGCTTTATTTGAGGTACTGGTGTTTCTTGTCTCTTCAGTTTATGTATTTCTTGATAAACAACTTTTCTTATCACCTCCTTGTCTTTCACAAAAAAAAAGCTGACAGGAATCTTGGGATAGTGTCATGTTCACTAAAAATTCCACTCTCCCCCCTCTTCTCTTTGCTGCTGTATCAAAAGTGTCCCACACTAGAACCAGGCAGAAGTTGAAAACTCAACTTCTGCAGAGCTACAGTATACGATGATCTGTTGAAACACACTCTACGTAAAAGCACATTTTGCTCTAATACACAATCGTGTCATATGACAAATAGTTTGCCCCAATTAGAATAATACATTGTAGAGCCTACTGCTAGGGCTAGTTTCCACGAGATCAACCAAGAGTTTGGTTCCACAGACCAGCCCACAGCTCATTATGCAGATCGATAAATTTTTAATGATGTTCCGTAACCAATTTTCAACCCCCCAAAAAGACCGCACCTCAAATGACAATTCATGTCGGGCATGATTTAGCCATTTCCCAACATGCACACACACATAGACATCCCTACCACTGCTACACATACACAGTATGTGTGCTGGCCGCTCGTCTGAACTCTCCTGACCCCAGCACATGAATAGACACATGTCATGCATGCATGTCCTTAACACGTGTGTTTGTGTTAAGCAAGGCTTTTGGTTGGTCACATAAGATAGCTATGTGTCTCTGATAGGTCAGTTCAGTGGACAGTGTATGATACACACAGAAAATTCATGGTGCAGAGCGACTGGCGGTCCTTGAGAATAGAGTAGATAAGTTTTGTAGTAGGAGAAAAATGTGGGAAGCCAAATCAGAGGCGGCTGTACATTCACTAGCAAATTAATTGAGTCTGAGCTTGTTCCAGTGTTTGTTGAGTACTTGGTATTTTATCAATTTCAAAGGATAGAATTGTTTTATCTGAGTTTCACTGTAACAGTATACTTACATTGGTCTGTCCTCAGAGAAATTCGCACCCGCAAGTTGTGTGCGCAACTTTTGCCCTCAGCGCAACTTATGCGCAACTTTTGCCATTTTCGTGAATTCGCGAATTTTAGCCAATTTTCCGCAAAAGTTGGAAAAATAATAATAAAATTTGGTTAAAAACACCGAAACTTTCTTCCACCACTATAAATAACGAGATGCTCTGTCTATTCATTACGGATGGGATCGGGACGGGTCAGGTCGGGTCGGGATGATCGCCCAACTTGACGCCTGAAAACAACGTGTTTGTTTTTTAGGCAACCAGTCGGGTGCGATCAACTTGTGCCACGATAGCCGTTTTGCACCATCAATCTGGCGGGCAAACCGACCCGACCTGACCAACCAATAGTCCTGTTTGGACCGAATCATCTTCTATCTAGATTTAAATCTAGATCTAGAATCTAGTCTGGATCTAGATTAAATCAATCATAAACACGATCGTCTGATTACTTAGCTTGTGTGGTTCCGTAGCACCAGGTAGATAGATCTAGTATAAAAATTTGTGAAAGACTTTAAATCTTAGGCTAGGAGGGTAGATCTAGGCATGGATCGATTCATCCAGAAAACCCCTTAGGGGACGTTCAAATATAATCTTACGCCTGGAAAGGGGGAGGGGGGGGGGGGTCTTTGACTCTTGCAAAAGAAGCGTGTAAGAGGGGGGGGGGGCTGTCTTGAACCAATGTAAGATTGTACACTTTTGTAAGGTGAAATAAATAGCAAGGAAAATAATTTATGACAACATTATTTTTTAACATAACAAAAAAAAAAAAAAGAGTAACGATTCACTCAGAGTAGAGCGGTCAGCACGATATGCCGTCTCGCACTTTATACATTGGTACTATATCTAGGCTACACGCCATATAGACCTAGTCTAATTTTGATTACACCGGTGCGGTTAAAGTGGTAAAATGACACTGTACATTTTTCCTTAAAAGTTTCGCTTGTACCGTATTTAATTATTATGTCACATGTGTGTATGCATGTTTTTTCATAAATAGGCCTACTATTATAAAAGTAAAGCGCATAGAAGAGTGATTGTAACACGGATTTGCGCAATATAAAAGTCATATTATTTATATAAGAGAATAATGTAATATTATGGGATTTGGGGGGGGGGGGGGGGGGGTAAGAAAAGTGTAAAGGGGAGGGCGGGGGGGCAAAAAGTCCCAAAGAAAGTGTAAGATTATATATATCCACAGAATTCTACACTTATAGAAGCGAAACTCCCTCTTCGCGATCGCTGATTCGCTGTGAGGAATTGAAACTAAAACATGGCGGCCAGTTGAGGGCACCTTTGGCTGCGCCACACAGCGAGGCTTCGTGTTGCTATGCACGCTGATGCTAGTGGTAGGGCTAGGAAGACACCTTACATCAGTATTTTAAAACTTTCTTTGAAGAGGAAATATAGTGAAATAGTCTAGTACATTTTTATTGCCAACAATATGTCATAATTGGCAATGTATTTGTATTGTTGGTTTGTTGTTTTTTTTAATGATGGGATGAGATCTAGATCTAGAGTAACTTGACCACTTGCGGCCACGAGCGAACATTCCCCCCTAGCTAGCACTGTTTCTGCACTAAGAGATTCCCAACTTGATTTTCGAGGAGAAAAAAGCCGCAGGAAGGGCCCTGACTTGGCCGGGAATTTAAAGACTTCAAGTATAGAGTGCAGTGTGTGTTTTCTGCACAACTTCGGCGTACCACTTGGCAGCCGGCAGCCCTGGGTGCGGCCGACGACGAGCCAACGATGCGGCCGAATCCATGCCCGTTATGCGGCCAGGCCGTTAAACAATCTTCAAACACTTGAAAACATGACAAACAATGAATGAATCAATAACAAACGCAAAAGGTGCAATTTGAAATATGGTAGGCCTACATTCAACTTTAATGAGATTCAACAGACTCTTGATCAGAGCATGCAAACGAAATGGAAATCAGTGACACAGAATGTAAACGGGAACGTTCAAAATTAAAGAATGGTACATACAACTTAAACGAGATTCAATCTACTTTTGATCAGAGTATGCAAACAAAATGGAAATCAATGACAGCGTAGATCTAGATCTATGCAAAAAAGTGCAAGGATGGTAGATCTAGATCTAGATTTCGTATACTCTTGATAAGAGCAGAACAGACAAGTCTCACGTCTCTGGCCTCAAGGTACGATCTCTACAGCCATACTGACCAAGTGAATCCCCGCTCTCCTCATTCACAGTGTCTGGCCTTCCTTCCTCTTCAGCCAATGCTGGCATTTCATTTCCAGTTCCGACCATGTTGCAGTCCTCCACCTCTTCTTCATTCATCTCACGCATAGCATATTATTCTCTTTCTACTCCAAGTCCAACGACTGGTCTTTTGTTCCCATCTCCGTCACTCTCAAGGATGTCTTCTCTTTCTGTTTCTTCTACTTCAACCACATGTCTTTTGTTTCCTATTTCCTTCTTTGTCAGCAGCAACACTGTTTCTGTTTCTCTCCGTCTGTGGTCCGACTCTTGATCCTTCATCAAGTTCAAGCGTTTCATTGTCCAAGTGTCATCTCTGTGGAGTTTCATGTCTTTCCACAACCCCCACTTCAGCAAACATGGATTCCTCAGTCGAACATTCTTCTCCCGTGAAATCTTCCAACTGCAGGTCATCTTCATCAAACAGTATCATTTCACTTTCATTGATACCTGCACTTGTACATGTATCATAGTCTGAATCGCCCAACCTCTTCTTGGATTTGTTTCCTTTCACGGGCCAACCCGTCATAGCACTCGTCCCATAATGCCGACGCCAGGTGGGACAACTACTAGATCTAGATTGCCAGTTTTTTTAGTCTTAGGTATGACTTCTTTTCTTTTGCTTCTTCTTATTCTCCGTCCCCTTCTCCTCGGCTAGTCTCCTCTCTTCTTGCATCTTCTTTCTATTTTCTTTCTCCACTTTGCTTCTTCAGCTCCCCTCGCTGTTTTTCTCTTTCTTTTCCTGTCTTCCATTTCTCCTCTTCCATTCTGGCTCTATTCTGTCCACTTTTCTCATTTCCATCTCTGCTTTCCTTTTGATCTTTCTCTCCTTGTTGATTAAAGAGTCAATGAATTCTTGTCCACTGATGAGCGATGGAAGGTTTTCCAGCGATGTCTTTCTCTTGCCGCCATTATTCCTGCGTTGCAAAGTAGGAAGAACGAAGGAATCTTTCAGTCTCAGATTGACTTGGCATCTCCCCATCCCTTCACTGACTGCTTGTTACACATTGTCTAAAGCTTCTTTTGTCCCCTTCGGTTTCCCACTCATTTTGAGACTTGCTTGGGAAAACACATTTTTTGGATAGATTAGAGATCACTTCATGCCATACTTGAATTTTTGTTTGAGTTGGTCTCTAATGAAAACCAGTAGGTCATTTAGGCAAATTAACGTGCTGT